ATGGTGGGGACGCGAGGAGCGATCGGAATTTGATCACGCGGAGGGCTTCTGTGAATACGTGGAGGGCGCGCTGGCGGAGCATGAATTTCTCGGCGCGGACTGGGAACTTGGACATGTAGCGTTCGTTCAATTCGTCTTCTGAGATTCCTAACAGCCCGCTGATTTGCGCGCGTGTGTAACCGTCTTCTTGGGGGAGGTAGTCTTCAGTGTGCTGGATTAGCTTCGTGAGTTGCGTTTCGAAATCTGCGACGGAAATCTTGGTGTTGTCGGAGACACTCTCTTTATCTTCGAAGTAGGTGTCGTGGAAGCCGCGAAGGCTTACGCCGAGGGGAGAGGAGTCTGTTGGAAGCTCTTTCTTTAGACCGAATGCTTTGGCTAGGAAGACAGCTGCTAGTGTACATTCTACGACGCGCAGATTGTAGCATACGGGTGCTGTGACATGCTTGTCGGCGGCGACGAAACTCTGAGCGGTGACGAAGACGAGCTCGGGGTCGGTTTTGGGGAACTCGATGTTTGTGTAGTTTAGGCTGGGCTTGAACGATACGTATAGGGCCGAACCGCGGAGGGAGAAGACGGAGGCTGCTTGGTCCATGCTACGACTTGTTAGCCGTGGTAATGCAAAAGGTAGGTAAGACTCACCCTCCAGAGTTGACACCGACTGCGCGCTCAGATACAATCGCAAGCTCGCACAGTTCGGTCTTGTCAATCTTCTCCTCGCCATTCGCGGCCAGCACAGCCAAGGAGCTTGTGCAGACAACGGATGCTGAACTTGAGAGACCGCCACCACTTGGTACTGTGCCATCGCAGACAATGTCCATGCCCACGGATGTGAACTTTCCTCGCTTTTTTTGCAGTAGTTGTGATACACCCTTCAGTCCAGACTTGAAGTAGTTGGTCCACTCATGCTCGGTAGCGTCGATTGGGATCTCTCCCTCGGGAATCTCGAACTCGCGAGTGGGGAATTTCTCGGAGTTGAGGTTTGCTATCCGTACGCGCGGCTTCTCTTCAGATGGCCGCACAGCCACAGCCATGATGAAGTCGGCGGTAATGGCCATGGGCAGAACCTCGTACAGGGAGTAGTCGATGTGCTACAATCATCAGCGACAGGGTATAGACTTCTTGCAGGTAATTTACCTCGCCAATGATGTTGACGCGTCCAGGACTCCTAGCGACAAAGTCGGCTTGCTTGCCATAGAGCTCTTTGAACTTGGCGAGTAGGCTCTCCCATCGCTTTGTCTCGACCGGGAGCGCGTCTCCTGGGTAGATGTCGCGTAGCGACGTCGCTGTTGGGACCTCCATTGCGCGATCTAGATGTTCAGAATCGCAAAAAGCAAGAGAAGGAGAAATAGAAAGCAGCTCGAAGGGTAGGAAAAGCAGAATCTATTAAATCCCCGGATCGTTGCAAGATCTCAAGTAAATGTACGGCGGGGTCCAACTGACGACAAGTGGGGTTCTCACACCTTCCCGCTTTGAGAAGCGCATCCGCATCACCAACGGCCCGTGAGCTGCATCGAGCTGCAGGTACGGATTTGAGGTCTCGTGTCGCGGTTGCTCGGGGGAAAAACGCCGTGGTAAGATAAGCTATGGATGCCCGGCAATGGTAAGATTGGAGAATCTGAGTGAGGCGTTCCGAAATTGCGCCATAAATTATGCTGACCTCAGCATGCGAGACCAGCAGATTACGGTACACGTTCAGGTGTAATTGTCGATTGGGTATTTCATGTATGCGTTCGAGGTGAGGCGAAGGCGTATGTGCAATCCTATCAACCCAAGCCTCTACCTCGTCCCCGCGGGAGCCCTCGTCCAATGCCGCTGCCTGCTCGACCTCGCGAGTCGCTGCGACTGATACCACGTCCGGTCTGTCCGCCTACGCCGGTGTAGTTCCCTGTGGACGACGTCGAAGCACCGCGTGGCCGGACGCCTCTGCCTCTGCCTCGAGTGCCTGCCCTTGGAGCCGCCTCAGCCCTTCTGCGATCCTCTTCTATCTTCCTTGCTGCAGCTTCTCTCCGTGCCTGCTCATCCGCCGCCCGACGTTGTGCAGCCTGCTGGCGGTGTACCTCTTCCTCCTCGATGTCAACCAAATCTTGCGACGCACCCTGCCATTGCGGGTTCAAGATTAGACGCTGATTATGTTCTGTTTGGGAAAGTATGCGCGTCCATGTTTGGAGCAAGGTAGAAGCGTTCTGGACGGTGCGTGATACGGTCTATTCATCGTCAGTCTAGAGACTGCGGCAGTTCTACTATTGTCCCTTACAGCCATGTTGTCCTTGGCCTTTTGCAGGCTCTCAACTACGCCCTCGATGACCTTGTTGACGTTTCGTATGCTCTCCAACTCCCTGCGCAATGCTGCCTCGCGCGCCTCTTCTGTCGTGTAATGCGACTCCTTTGAACGTGTCTTTGCTGCGTCATTGTCCGCATCTTTTGTCTGCTTCTTGGTCTTGCGTGCCGCGGGCGTGTCGAACAACGCGTCCGTGTCCGAGTCGGAGAGGTCAAGCGCGCCCAGGTTCGGCGGGTCCATGCTGTGTTCAAGGTGCTGTGTATTGTGTCGGACTCTTCTAGACGAATTGATTTGGTGAGTTTCAACGACTGACAGCGTTGGCGTGTTTGACGTATTTGGTTTGGCGGGGCCAGCGGTTAGCAGGGGTTTGTTGATGTTCCGCGTTGCGCCAAGGAAGGAGCACCAGCCATCTGCGCCTGCCGTCCCAACCTCGCGACTTCCTTCATTCCCCGTCGTGACATAGCCCATTGTCTCCACCCGGCTTTGTCCTTCACCTTCACCATCACCAGCCCTACCGCCATCTCCACTTGCGCGCATATCGATACTGCATCCATTGTCATCCCAACGTTGAGGCCCTGCGACATCGAGCTTGCTGTGGCATTGTTTTGATTTTGGATACCCACAATTCGCCCTGTATTGCTACAACAACACCACAACTGCCCTATCCCAAACAAACACCCGCATCATCCCACCCAACATGGAGCGCACGCCGTCCCCGCCCCGTCGCGTCCACACGCCGCCCGCGCCGCTGTATGGAGACAACTACGAGCCGTTTTCACCGCGCCGATCGCGCAGAGTGGCCGCCCAGCACGACGCTCACACTCACCAACAGGAGCGGTCAAGCCCACGGACCAGGCGCGACATCACGCCAACGGCCTCTTCTCACGCCAAGCGTTCTGCAGCCCGCGCAAACGCTTCCTTTGCACTCTCACCACCGTCGTCGCCTGCATCCCCACAACACCAACACCTCCGCTCCCCACGCTCGACCCGTCGCGCGCCCTTGGACCTCAACCCGCTCGACTCTGACTCCGACACGGCTGCACCAAGCTCTTCCCGGCGCACCCTGTTTGCGAACATGGCTCCTGTATGTTACCTGAGGTGACCGCCTGGGCCGATGCGGTTGACAAATAACCGCGTCGTGTCGAAGCGTCTGCACCATAACATTGATTCAACATGCTAACTTGTACACAGGGCATGCTCCCCACTCCCGCAAAGACGCCGCGCAAGCGTCGCATCGAAGACGTCAGCTCGACCGCGCGCGTGTTGTTCCCCGCCAACCGGCCTTCAACCATCGACGAAGCCATGCCGACCCCGCGCAAGGGCCGCAAGACCAAGAACCTCTACACTCTAGAGAGCTTCGCCCAGCAGATGGACGAGAACACCGAAAAGATCCCCATCTACACCGACTCCAAGGAGCGCGTACCCACTCCCGGTGCCCAGACTGAAGACAACCCATTCATCACCGTCAAGGGCAAGGGCAAGGCAAAGGCTGCTCCTCAAAAGTCAAAGAAGGTGGTCGACCGAAAGACAGCCAAGATGGAGGCGGCTGTCGATCGTGACGAAGGCATGGTGTACATCTTCCGGGGCCGCAAGGTCTTCCGCAAGTTCCATGACGACGCACCCTCCGGCGCCTCAGCGGCAGAGGAAGACGACGACCTCTCCGCCGATGACAAGCAAGTCCGCCGCCAGATTGGTTATGAAGCCCGTCGCCCGCTTACTCGTTCGTCTATCAAACCCCGTCTTCTGTTCCAAGCAGAGATCAAAGAGCGTAACCGCGCAAACGGTATTGAGACCGATGATGAGGAGGCTACCACCGACATCGATGCGTCCGTCGCGACACCGAGCCGCAAGAAGGGCAAGAACGCCGTCCCAACACCATCGCTTCTCACATCACCGCCGCCTACGACCCGCAAGCTCAAGAAGGGTAAGTCTCTTCGATCTTCGCCAGTGAAACCCCCGCTTATACAGTAACAGAGATCTCGTTTGATTCGTGGTCGCGTGTCAAGTCAGCGCACAGCTCCAGCAGCTCCACCAAGACATCCAAGAAGCGCAGCGGTGAGCCGCTCGAGCGCGAGGCAGCAGACAAGCGGGCTCGCAGTGAGCACTCCACCTCATCCATGTCAATTGACAACATCTAACGGCCTTCAGCCCGTTCGTCTTGAACAAGTCTTCATCGTAGCTTGTGTTGAGATGCCATCACCAAGCGTTCCCAACTCCTCTTTTGCATCAGGTCCTTTGTGACTGATTGTTTGCATAGCGAGCGTTTGCTTTTTGTGTTCTTCGACCTATGCGAGTCGAGGAACAGGATCAGGATACCCACGATTACATTACGAAAAGGTTCGCATTACTGACGGCCTTTAATGTTTGTTTGGTACTGAAGGGTAGTGGACACCTTTCTTTGCCGAGAAGGCATTGTAATCGGTGTTTTCTCTGGGACATTTACTGGACAGCACGCATATGTGCGTTGGCTAGAGTAACTTAGTTAGTAAGTAGGGAATACGGATTTGACTGCGGGATCACGGTATGCGGTTGCTTGGTATCTGGGCGTCTCGATGAACAGACACCGAGCTGGTGTACGGTGCTTAGCGGTTGAATCGATGGTAATGGGAGGATATGGAAGGGAACGTAGTATAGATCAAGGAAAATACGAGTGATAACTCTGATCAAACTGGTTCGTCGTGACCATGCTATGCTGTCCCGTCTCTCCACAAGATGTCCTCTCTCACCGCCGCCCCAGATCAATATCCAACACCTTGACCATCCCATCATCCCCTTCATCCCCTCCCTCTCCCTTCACCCCAAAGAAAGGCACAACCCCCCTATTAACCACCCCCTCGAAAAGCCCTTCAATCATGCCACTCAACTCGCTCCCCGTCTGCCTGAAATCAGGGAATGCGTTCACCTCTAGCAGATACGTGTTCAGCTGTCCATCCGGTTCAATGCCTACCATGAAATCCAGCCCGAAAATCTCAAAGCTGTTGGGCAGCGGCTGGAAATGAATCGACATCCCCCTCGCCGCAGCTTCAAAAGTCGCGCCTGTAGTTTCTTTTATTTGTTCGAACACTTTGTCTTTCCAATCTGCCTGTGCATCCATTTTGACAGACCCGAGATCGGGCTGTTGGGGTAGGGAAGAAGGGAGATCCCAGAACAATCCCACACTCCCCTCCCTATCCCCGCTCTCTTGCAGACACGTATTCGTCAGATGCGCTCGCATAGCCTCATCGCGGTCGGTTTGTAACACGTCGTCCCAAGGCGGGACGTACGGCCGCGCAGCGAAGAGAGCGAGCATGGGGCGGTAGATGTAGACTTGGAGGGCGGAGGTGGCGAGGACGTAAGTCCGGATGTGGAATTTGCGGAGCGGAGAGGGAGGGGGAGGGGAGGGGGAGGGAAGGGAGGGAGGAGAGAGGAGTAACGGCGGGTGAATGTAAGGTTGTGCGATGAAGTGGCGGAGTTGGGATGTTATGATGCCGTTTCCCTCCTCTTTTTCCTCTTTCTTATCTTTCCGCTGCTCGCCAATGCTGAGACTGCTGTTGGCGCCGGCGTCACTTCTTGCACCCCCCTCTTCTTCTTCATCTTCATCCTCATCGTCACTCTCAGGATCCCACTCCTCAAAAATCCCCACCAACTCCTCCTCACTGCTAAACAACCTGATCCCCTGCCCCCTCTCACTCATGCCCGGTTTAAGAATCCACCACTCTTTCTTCTCCTCCCCCCCCTCTCCCAAACTTTCATTCCTCGCCCAACTCTCCTTCAACTCCCACGCCTCCACCAACGCATCATCCAAAAACTCCGCATAGTCGACTTCAAACTCCACACTCGGTTTTACATGCCTCTTCAACACACTATCTGGGTACTTGGTAATCCAATTTGCGATGGTGGTGCTGAGGTAGTGTTTCCGGATTAGGGCTTTGCGGATTATGTAGGCGTTGGAGAGGGTGGTGGAGGGGTTGGACATGAGGTGGTCGAAGTCGATGGATTCGTATTGCACCCATTGCAGGAGGCGGGAGGAGGGGCTGGGCAGCTGAGAGACTGAGGTGATGACTTCATAGGACGATTCTGGGAGACGTTTTTGGAGGGCGGCGAGGATGAGGGGTTGGACGTAGGGGTCTTCGTAGTTTATGAGGGCGTAGATCTTCTCCGAGTATTTGACGTCTGAGGTTGCCATGTTGATGTGATTTGAGTTTGGAAGTTGGTGGTCCTGCTCTTTCCCTCGATGATGTGGTCGCACGTGTGTTGTTGTTATAGTCAGTAACCCCTCACACCTCTCCGTTCATTCAGTCTCAGAATCTTGGTAAGGTGAACGCAGTATATAATTCAGCGTAACAAAGCGGGTATAATATTGTACAAGTAAAACAAAAGGAAAGTCGTTAATGCGGCTTCGCTCCACGCTAAAGCCTTGCGGTATCCATCACAGCCCAGAAAAGTTCGAAATGCACCCCGTTGCTCGCTTAGCTCTAGCCAATCAGCGAGCTTTGTGACCCAAACGCCCTCCCCTTCATGTTTTTTTGTGTATACCTCCCCTAGTGTTTTCCAAAAGAATTAAACTACTTCCAAATCGTCATCGTCGTCGTCGTCCATGGCAGCAATAAGACCAGCGTCGAGACCGCCTAGACTCTCGCGTCCGGGCTCGCGGATGCCTTTTCCGGCTAGCAAGAGACGCGCCTTCTTCTTCGCTGGACTGGCTTCGCGGGTACCCCGGAATGCAGAAGGGAAAGAAGTGTCCTTCTTCGGTGATGGGATACGACCGTACTTGAAGCCCCAGCCGACGGGGTCGCTCGAATTGGATGATTTCGCCGATGCTGTGCGTTTACGTTTAACAGGCGCCAAAGAAACATCGGCTGACGTACGGTTAAGTAGACTGGTAAAGTCTACGTCGGCTGGCTTGTCAGGCTTTGCGCCTGAGGACCCTTGCGACGATGTGTAGCCTCTTGCGGGGAGGTTCTGGGTACCAGCGCCCTTCAGCTTCATGTAGTCGCCTCCGGTGCTGCCATCTCCCATGGTGCCTAGCTTCTTTGCAAGTTCCCTTTCCTTCTCCTTTTCGGCGAGTTGCTTGCGGAAGCGGTCTTCTCGGCCTGCTCCGCCTTCCCAGTTTTGGTGGTCGCGGTCGATGAGCTTGGCTGCGCCGCCAGGACGTGGTGCGATGTAGACGGTCTCGTGGAGTTCTCGGTCGTGATACTTGCCTTCGCGCTTGAGTTCATCACCCTTCGGGCCGCCGCGTCGACCAAACATGCCGCTGCCTGGTCCTCCACCAAAGCCGGTCATGGTGTTAACTTGCATGCGGCCCTTCTTGGCCTTGTCGACCTGGAGTTGAATGTGGAACTCGCAGAACTCAGTCTTGCGACCGTCGATCCACTGGCCACATTCTTTGCCGTCTTTCCGTTGTGCATGGCAGAAGTCTAGATCTCGCGCTGTGCCAAGTTCAAGGATGGTATCGTCGGAACTTGATAACTTCAGTGAGAACTTGCCGGTGTCACGATTCCGTGGTGGCATGATGTCCGGGTTGAGAATAGCAACAAGCGTGCCGAGAGGGAGTTTCCAGAACTGCGAGAAGCCAGTATCGAACAGGAATAGATCGAGCTCCCATTTGAGATCTGTCAGACGGATAACCATGAACTTGCCGTTCTGGTCCAAGTTCTTGTCCTGGTTGCCCTTGGTCTGGTCTTTGGCGGCGTTCTTGGAGTTTTGTGGTGTCGACTTGGAGCAAATAACTCCAAGAACAACATAGTCGTTCTCCCAATCCGGCGGATCGTATTCTGGCGCTTTCACAGTCTTCAAGAGTTGAGGTATAGTGAGGACTGTCTTGCCCTCAAGGGTGCGGGTGACTACATTGTGTTGCATTTCCCTCGACTTGAGATGGAGACCAGAGAACGATTCGAAACTAGGAGCATCGGCGCTTTCGTCGCGCGACGAGATCTCGGCGTACTTCGTGGCGGTCGGTGTTGAGCCAAAGCTGCTAGACGTGGCCTTAGATGAGGACGAGGTAGGGCGGGAGCTTTCAGGCCTGAAGGACAATGTGGAGCCTGGTCTTGGAGTGGGCGGACCACCAAATGTACGGTTCTGTAAACTTTGCGTTCGGCTGTGATTCCTGAGGGCCGGCGGAGGCATGTCGCGCGAGGTCTTGGTGTCGGTACTCTGAGACGAGCTGGTTCGTGATAGCGACGGCCGGTCTTTCAGCGCCTCGATGTTCTGCAGCCCAAAACCCCTACTCCGTCTCTGTTCGGCCTTGTCCTCTTTCTCTTCGCGCTCCTTCTCCTTGTTCCTGCTCTCTGCAATGCGCTCACTGAAGGACTTGATCTTGGGCGGCTCGACTTCCTTCGACGAGCCCAGCCGCGACATGCGCCCGCTGACAGCACTTCCCGGCCGCTTGAGACTAACATCGCGGGCTGTGAGTCCCTTGTCTATGCCCAGCATGACGCGCGCAGGACTCTTCGGCTCGGTTGGCGCTTGTCGCATCCGGACTGGTGATCGCGGTACCTCGACGTCGGTCTCTTGTCTGGTCTCGGGCCGCGGCAGGTCGATTCTGCGCATGCTGGTGGCCATGCTCGCTCGTGATGATGCTCCATTGCGATCCAGATCCTGGGACTCGTTCTTCTTCTTCTGCAGCGCCTTCAGCTTCAGCTTAGCCTCGATGGCCTGGAGTTGCAGCTGGAGCGTCTCCTCATCCTCCTCTCCGTCGCTGCCGGCTGGCACACCTCCGCGCGACATTGGACGGCGTTTCGAGGGGGATGGCGATGCGGAGTCGCGCTGGCGGCGGCTCTCGTACCTCTTACGGCCGGATGGCGAGCTGAGAAGGGCTTCGACGGGCGACTGCGGGGGCCAGTTGGGCTGGCTGTTCTTGACTGTCACTAGAGTCAGCGCATGCCCGGCACACTCACATGGGCGACTTACCTTTTGACTTGGGGCTCTCCCGCACGATCATTGTTGTGATGGTGCAATATCGGATGCGCTATCTCGCAGTGGCCCATAGCAACGCCAATACTGGAAAGCGGGAAAAGCAAGATGGGAAACAGTCGATCGTCAGGCAGGACTCACAAGCGCATAGCCCGGCCCCGTAGCGTTTGTTGACACCGGACTGTGGTTCACCCCAGACTAATCTAATCCGAAACCGTGACGTGACAGGGATTGCGCGTGTACGGTTGCGCCCACGCGACGCGCCTGAACTCCGATTCCACCACGAATTCGAGACACCACTTTCAATACTGTATATGCCCAATTGGACCAGCAGACACCTTGCAATGGCACGCACACGCTCGAAACCCGCAAAAGCCGCACCCAAAGAATCCACGCCTGAACCCACCACCACAGCCAAACCGCTGCCCGCAAGCACATCGAACCCCCCGAAGGTGTTCGTACTACCAAAGGATATATCCAAAGACGCGCGCATAGTCAGCCTCGACAATCCCGCAAACGATACACCATCGAGATATTACTTCTGCCCTGAAACAGGCTTCTACGAGTTCACGCGCATCGCTGCGCCGAAGAAAGACTTCAAGAGTTGGTTGATAACAGGAGAGAAGAGCGAGGATGACACCACAGAAGAGACAGACGCCTCACGGATAGGCAGCGGCTACATCACCAAATCCGCTGACCTGTTCATCGCAACACCCATCGACATCCTCTTCCTCATCCTCCCCGCCCTCACACCAAAGTCAGCAAAAGACACGAAGCAACACTTCCTCGCCTTCGATGATTATCTCGACACACTCTCATCCGCTTCACCACATTGGAAAGCGCTGTTGGCACAATACCCCACACTCAAGACTATGATAGAAGCCAAGATGCGAAGGATATGCGACACCGTCGACGCAGGCGAAGAGTCCATGTACCGCCTCTCGCACCCCAAGCTCCTCGAAGTTCTCCTTGCGAAAGCCGAGCGCATGGTGAAGAAGGGGCTTCCGCCGTCGATGGAGGAGAGGTTCATCAAGACAGCCCTGGAGATACCCGTCATGAGCATAAAGCGCGAGGAAAGCACACTAAGCACCGTTACAACAACGCCCGGCGCAGACTCAGAAAAGGAGAACAGCACAACAGAAACCTCGCAAGCAAGCGTCACAACAACAATAACACCCCCCTCCGACGCCCCCTCAAAACCCACCCTCACAACCCCCACCGAAATCCCCCACCTCCTCCGCCTCCGCACATCCCTAACCTACCTCCTCTCCTCCTACGTTCCCCCCTCCCTCCGCACCCCCTTACTCGCCCTCCTCTCTCCGCCCCACTCCACTCTGTTCACACCCCTCGACACCCACCTCTCCGCCATCTCCGCTCTAAAATCCGAAGCCCTGTCTCTACGCTCCATCTCAGACAACATCAGTCGTAAACGCGCGATTGAAGAAGACGAAGAGAAGATTGCGGAAAGAGAAGAAAAGAAGCGGAAGAAGGAGGATGAGGAGAGGAAGAAGAAGAGTGAGGGGAGGGGGGTTAAGGCGCTGAAGAAGGTGGATACGAGTGGGATGAAGAAGATGAGTAGTTTTTTTAGTGTTAAGCCGAAGGCGAAGTAGGGGGAGGGGTTGTGGTGGGAAAAGAGGGGTGGGGGGTTTGGGTATGAAAGGGGGTGGGTTGTATGTGTACGATAATAGGGATGTTATGAGGTCCTGGGGTCTTGCTGTTGGAGATTGGATAGTGGTGATGGTGATCATCATCATCACTATAAGAATTTGCATTCAATAGTTCTGCGAACGAGCAGCGCGCTCCATCATATCTGCCACGATTCCTTTTGGAAAAGCCCGGACAGCAAGAGCACAACCGAAGCCATGGTCTTGTCGATGTCGATTTTTCGACTCCAGAACTGGAGGTATAGTAAAGAAGAATAAAATCAGAACCCCGAGGGGTATTTATACACGTCCCAATCCAGCGCCAAGGACATACGTTTCTTTTTGCATTGTTTCCACAACAAGACTGGCGCACTCCATGAAGTTGTTGATCCATACTTTTGGATAATCAATAGGAAAGGAAGAGCAGTGCCGCAGCCATACTCTTTGCTTCCTGTGCTTTTGGACTCCAGAACGGGAAGTGTTGTAGAGACGAGAAAGACAGAGCCACGAGGGGTATTTATACACGTCGCAGTCCTGCGCCGAGAACATCGCCTTGTTCTCGGCCGTGTTTGAATCGCGGGAGCAGCGCACCCCATCGTCACTCCACACAGTAATTTTGGAGAACACCCCA